TATGCTGCAGTATACTGATGAACATTTGTCAGTAGTGTGCTGGCAACAGCAATGGGACTGGCTGTGTTCTTCGGGTGGTAGTGGCAAGTTTGGGTGGAGTGGCTTTTCCATTTCTACTTGTGGTGATGGCAACTGCAGTTTTGGAGGGTGAGGGCACCCAGTGACAATTTTGAGTAACAGTGGGAGCGTGAGTGGGCCGATGTACTGGCTAGAGGATTTATTTGTGTTTTGTGCTGCTGTGAGGCCCACCACACTGGCAGTAGCTATCTTATCTCTTACAAGCTACAGCAGAACTCAGAAGGACTGGAACATTTGTTACCTGTTCTGTTTTGCAGGAGCATCAAGGTTTTCCATTTTTCTGTCTCAAAGAAACTTAATTGAAGATAGGAATAGAACCTGTGATCCATATTGAAAGTGAGCATTGGTGGAGTGTGTTGAGGAATGGTGGTTGCTGGGGTGTAGTTGTTTGTTCCCCACTACTGAGAGATGATAGTTCTCCCTAGTTCTCCCAGCAGTTAGGGTTTTCTGAGTGTAGTTTAGTGCTCTAGCTACGTTCAGGAGCTAGCAAGGAGTGGGATAGATTGGGTGTTCAGAACTAGGGATGCTGGGGCAAAAGCATCCCAAAAACCTGGTTAGTCAACTAGTGGGATGTTTGTGGCATGAGTTGGAGCCCTTTGTTTAAGGGGAAGGGGGATAGGGATTGGGAGAGCTAATATGTTGGAGGGAAGAGACAGGCAGTAATGTGGTGATAGGCAGGGGGAGATACGGTGGGATATAAGGATGGCCCACTTTCGAGGAAGAAGGTCTCAGCGTGTTATACCATTTCCATGTTCCAACCAGCTGCAGTGCCCATCATTGGATCTCAGAGTCCCAGGCTTTTGGTTGCTGCTACTGAATGCCAAGTTTGCCTGCAATAAATTATCTAATAATGTATGAGAGACTTGATCTGGTGTGTGTATATGTGTGTGTGTGGGGGGGGAGGTTCCACTCAGAAGTGTTCCCATTTGGCTTTCAAGGGCAGCACCTGCGATGATCTGCCTTTGAAATCCCATAAATAACCAGTTGTGAGACTCTGCTGATGAGGTTGGCTTCTAGGGATCAGATGGGATTGCTGCTACTGTACTAGTTTCCCTGCTGTGCAGCGGCTTCCCTATCCAAGCTCCTCAATGCAGTGTCTGAGTTTGTGGTGGATTTTGGGAGGCTGATGGTTCTGGGGACTTGAATATCCCTTCGTTAGGCATGGGATTGGAGGTGGCTCGAGAGTTCATGGTAACCATGAGCCTGACCCAGGTTATTGTGAGCCTGGCTCACAGCAGTGGTCACATGTTAAACCTCATTTTTGTTTTGGGGCAGTGGCAACATGATCTGAAGATGGGGGAATATTACCATCAGTCTCTTGTCATGATCAAATTACTTTGGTAACCTTGGAGGTCTCTGTAGCCCTTCTTTGTTGCAGAGAAGAACTCATTTGATTGGGCCACCCCAGGACTCTACATTTCAGTGGAGAAGAAAGGGCCAGAAGAACACCTGTAGGGCTGTTTTGAAGACTATTCTAGGTATTTTTTGGATGAAATTACAGTGGTACCTCTAGTTACGAATGCCCCTCCTTATGAATTTTTCGAGATACGACCAGCT